AAATATTTATGAGATATTGCAATGAACTATAGTAAAAAAAAAATCATAGCAATATAAAAATGTCAAAAACATTTAATGGTAATAAAGCAGTAGTAGTGTTTGCCTTTCATAGTTGTCAGTATGAATGTTAACTGATTTGTAATGGTCCCTTTATTCATGTCAGGCATCTCTGAAAAGTAATAAAACCATGGAAAAGAAGTTCCAGTTTGGACAGAAATAAAATATCTGGGTTTTTTTTTTTGTTTTGTTTGTTTTTTTGTCATTTTTAAGATAATCTTTATAAAAAAGGGCATGTCAAATTGATTAGACCTTTGGTAGAAACGGTGGTAGTAGTTCGTCCTGCCAGTTCGAACCCTTCTCCCTTGTTGTGTCCTTGGGCACGACTCTTGTCTTGCCTGCTAGTGGTGGTCAGAGCGCCAGGCTGCTCCAACATGTTAATATTACTTCCATTCTGAAGAAACATTTTGACAAAAGCTCCCAACCTTTCTGGAATCCAGGTTTAAACAAGTTCTAATTCATCCTATTGATCTACTAGAACATATGAAGGTTGCAAACGAGGATTGTGAAAAGGATAATCCCAGGTGGAGCGAGGATGTCTGAGATGATGAAGGTTGAAGCAGATGAGCCTGGAGGGTTCAGCTTGGATCCCCACATACCTGCAGCATCCACATTGGAACTGGAGGAAATACAAGACAGCAAAGATCTCAGTAAGTGACACATTTGTTACTGGGTTAGAGCAAATTAACTCTGTTTAGAAGTTATAAAAGAGCTGCTGGGCATGGAACGATTCAGAGAGAGAAATATATCTGAAAATCCAAGCAGGGCCAGAATACTATGGCCTAAAACTCACTGTGGGATTGCAGGTATTGCGATTCCTGCAAGTCTAGCTTTTATAATGCGGGAAATTCTTGCACACAATTACAGCAATGTGTATTGACGTTGATGTTTTTTTTTTTATTGGAACCATGAAATAAAATTAAGAACACTTCAGCACACTCCCCTTCTCTCTTCTCTTTAAAGTTTAAGATCCCTCTGCTGTGCAACAACCTGCTCCTTTTATAAAAACTACTGAAAAGTAAAAAAAAAAAAAAAATATATATATATATATACACACACACACATAGTGCCCGGAAACCCATAAGTTAATCAGAGTGGAGTTTGATTCAGTTAGTTCCTTCATTGTCCTATTCAGTAGCCACACAGAATCAGAAAGGTCATTAATTGGGTTTTTGTAGAACTTGATAGCATGATGAGGAGACAGTGCAGCAATTTTATTCAGATATTTTGAAGCACATTCAAGAATTGTAGGATGCTGGCCTCGAGCTGAACACTCTTGGAGAAAGAACTCCTGGTTGGAAGATTATTTTAAATTAGAAATCAAATTAAATAGATTTAATTATTATTTAAATTTCTTTTCTTAAACTAATAATTAAAAAATGCAATTTCCAAACAATATTGAGTAGTTGTTTCTTTAAATGTAAGAGAATGATAATGTTTTTAAAAGTAATCTGTTCTTGAAATTGCAAAAAATCATTGATTAAACAAATACTGCTCTCAGTCCAACAGATATTGGTGATTAAAGAAGAGGTTCCCCATGAATGGAGTTCAAGTTTCGATCCGGAGTCGTCGCACAAACAGGAGGAATTGGAGGAACTGTGGACCAAACAGGAGGACGAGCAGGTCATTGTGAAGATGGAGGATGAAGAGAAACCTCAGTTTTCAGAGCTTCAACAAATCAAAACTGAAGACAGCAGAGTGACAGACGCTCAAGCCAGCAGTTCAGCTGTAAAGATTAAAGCAGACCCTGATGGAGGGAAATGTGGAGAACCAGAACCAGACAGAAAACCTGGTCCAGTATGTTCTTCTCAGGAAAGTAAGATGGCAGTTCACAAAAAAAGTAAAACATCCAAACCACGTTCCAGACGTACAGGTCATATTGAAGTTAATGCGGGAGAGAAGCCGTTTGGTTGCAGTATCTGTGGCAAAAGACTCAGACATAATACTCATGTTAAATTACACATGATGATTCACAGTGGAAAGAGAGAACATAAATGTGACATTTCTACCAAAGCGTCAAAAGAAAAGCGTTCTCCTCAGACGCACAAGAGAGTCCACACTGGAGACAAAGCATTTGCGTGTGAGGACTGTGGTAGAAAGTTTCATGCAAAGAAATTGTTTCAGCAGCATCTGAAGGTTCATTCAGAAGAAAAACCTTTTTCTTGTGATGTCTGTGGTACAAAATTTAAAAGAAAGGAAACACTTAAAAACCACACAAGGATTCACACTGCAGAGAAACCATTTCTTTGTAGTGTTTGTAGTAAAGGCTTTTCACAACAGATTCATCTTAAAAGTCACATGCGTGTTCACACGGGAGAGAAACCGTTCACCTGCAGCTTTTGCAGTAAAGGATTTGCATTACAAGAGAACTTAAAGAGACACATCCGTGTTCACACGGGAGAGAAAAAGTTTGTTTGTAGTTTTTGTAGTAAAGGATTTTCACTGCAGCAAAATTTAAAGAGTCACATGCATGTTCACACTGGGGAGAAACCATTTATCTGCAGTATTTGCAGTAAAGGATTTTATCAACATGGAGTGCTGAAGAGACACATGCGTGTTCACACAGGAGAGAAACCATTTATTTGTAGTGTTTGCAGTAAAGGATTTTCTCTACAAGAGAATCTAAAGAGACACATGCATGTTCACACTGCAGAGAAACTATTCATTTGTAGTATTTGTAGCAAAGGATTTTCACAACAGGACACTTTAAAGAGGCACATGTGTGTTCATACGGGAGAGAGACCGTTTATTTGCAGTGTTTGCAATAAAGGCTTTTCGCAACATCATCATCTGAAAAAACACATGGATGTTCACACTGCGCCATTTAGCTGCAGTGATTGCGGTAAACATTTTTTGAAGGATATCCAGTTGGAGCGACATGTAAAAGTTCACACAGAGGAGAGACCGTACGGATGTGATGTCTGTAAAAGCAGATTTATTCAGAAGTGTCATCTTGACAACCACATGAGAGTCCATTCAGGAGAGAAACCATTTGTTTGTGATGTTTGTAGTAAAGCATTTTCACAACAAGATCGTCTAAAGAGACACATGCGTGTTCACACGTGCGAAAAACCGTTTGTTTGTAATGTCTGCAGTAAAGCGTTTTCACAGCAAGGGAATCTGAAGAGACACATGGGTGTTCATGAGGGTTGCACATAGTGAGGGAATGTAGAATCTAGGAGAAATATCAAAATAAAAAATATTGAGAGGGCTTAAAGCTCTAACATGATCAAAAAAATAATGATTAGATAAACCGAGAGCAGATGGTCTATTCAGGATGTCTGCCTTTGTCATGGAGTGGACAATATGGTATTAAAATGAAATCTTGGTAGTTCAAGAAAAGACATTCTGACAAGCAGACGGCGGACATAATATGGACATCTACAAGTGGGTCAATATCAACAAGCAAAAAGCTTCATGTTTTAAGTCAGTGATTTTTACTGTCTATATATAAAAAATGCAATTGATCTAAAGGTGATACATAGGTCTACTGTCCTGCTGGTATGCTGGCACTGGTACAGTATGCACCAGATGAGCAGCATACGCGATTATGATCTTGGGTGATTATTATTATCAAAACTGAATGTCTATAAGCATGTAAATAAACCAGCAGACTTCCTGGCATTACTCTATAGTTTTTATGGTTGTAAATAGACTGATACAAACGAATAACTACATGACTGAATTGACTTTTGCTTGTGATAAACTCAAGAAAAACTTTTGTATGAAGTGAGCAGAGGTGGGTAGAGAACCCAAAACTTGTACTCGAATAAGAGGAAGACTAATTCATCAAATTTCTTCTCAAGTAAAAGTATACAGTATATCCAAGTATACATCTGTTAAAGTAAAAGCTGCCCTTCCTCCTGTTTCTGTTGGTTAGAGAGCCTCTAGATATCAGTGGTAGCAATGGTGCTGGCAAAAGCAAACTGTGATATTGCTAAATAACATTTTTATATCAAGGGAGAATTTATACCGATATTATATAGCCTTGTGTTGCCCAGAGTCTGCTCTGTAAAATTTCAAAGTATACTGGGAGCAAACCACTGTAGTGGAAGCAGTAGATGTAAGTGTAAAGTTGAAAAGTGTGCAAGTGAATTCTTTTGCTAAATGTAAAATGTGAACAGTTGTAAGAAACTTGATTAGTTCTGGTTGATGAACATTCAGATGTTCAGCTCTACAAATATTTGAAACTTCTTCATGTCTGGTTATCTCACCATCAAATCAGCCTCTGATGTTTGATTTTGTTCTTCCCTGATATATGTTTTTAATCGAGGCCACTAGTTATTGTGCTGCAGAAAAACCATTGAAGTGCTATGAATTATGTATCTCTGTAAAATAATATTTCTTCTTTTTTTCTGTTTTTACTTCTGCCTTTGCTATCACTGTTGAACATTATTTTTTGTTTTTGGTTGTCGAACAAATGCTGGCTCACCTTTTTATTGAAGAGTATTTGCTTTATGTTTTCTGGTGCAAAAATATGTGCATTAAAAACCTGTAGTATTTCCATTAAAATTATTAATGTAAAAAGCAACAGCTGTCTTATAAAGTGTGTGAGAGGATGTTTTTTTTTTCTGAGCTGGTGATGAAACAAGGGAGATACTTGATTTCAGTTTCAGAGCACCTGGTATCAACCATGTAACTGAAGTCTGAGCAGGAGTGTGTGAAGTGTGGAAGCAATTCCTGGCACCAGTTACTCAGATCTACTGGACATTACATTCAGCTCTTTATCGTTATACAAATACAATATTTTAATGTTTGTTTAATAAGTAAAACAAAAAAGGATTCCATAAGAATCTTAACACTAAATGATACCTACTATGTGATAAACTTTATAGCATATAATTCAGTACATTATTTTTTAATATATTTCCACCACAAATGTAAATCTATCTTATGATGGCTCATGTTGCCCCTCGGAGCCACTCACAATATGGCGGCGACGTCGTCAACGTATAACCCGGACCAGCTCGGTTTGCGTTTATTATTTGTTGGAATGAGGATTAATTACAATGACAATGTTAGCTTGACTGGCTATATGCCGACGAAAGACGCTTGTTTGTGTTAAATGTGTGTGATAAAATGTCCTTACATAATCTCTCAGACTCTGCTCGGCCACCTTGGTTGAGGAGATCGCTTTTACGTGTTTGCTGTGAACCTCTGTGATTATTTCTAGCCGACATTTGCAGCTCATTATATGTAATTAGAGAAGGGAGCGCTGGTGACCATGGAGCTAAAGCAGCAGCCAGGAAAGACCTGATCATCGTTTGGACACCTCTAATATAACCTTGTTGTCCATGTGAGGACACAGAGACTGGAGACAGTTTCAGAGTGGACCCAGAACTACTGAACAAGGTATCAGGCTCTCTGCTCTGCAGCATCGCTTCAGCGCTCTCATGGTTTACATTTTCTGATAATATACATTTTTTGATTAGATGCTGATTTGTGTCAGATTCCAGTTTCAGGCAGCAGAAAAACAAAAGATCCACGACTGATTCATACACGACTGATTCATTGATCCATTAGAACTTGTGAAGGTTGAAGACAAGGATTGTGAAAAAGTGAATCCCAGGTGGAGCGATGATGACTGAGATGATGAAGGTTGAAGCAGATGAGCCAGGAGGGTTCAGCTTGGAGCCCCCTGTACCTGCAGGACCGACATCAGATCTGGAGGAAACACAAGACAACAAAGATCTCAGTAAGTGACACACAGAAACAGTCACTACAGAGTTCTTGTTTCATCTAAAATGATCTTAAATGATCAATATTGGGTCTACTTCATAAGGCTTTATATTCAGTTTTTAACCGAAGAGGTTCTCACTAACCTGTATTCCGTGTGTTTTTACCCCTTCGACTTTATTTATGTCCAATTTTGCACACACACAAAAAAACACTTCAGTTTCTCTCTGCTGAAACTATGTGATAGGCTATAAGATAATGGTCCCAAATGCTTGCCTAATGGTTAAAATCGACTCCCCAACATGATGAATTTTAACCTTCAGACAATTTTGATACAGATGCACATGTGTGTGCCATATTTTGGACAAGGCACTGATTTACTTCACTCTACCATGTTAAACACAAACTAAAGTAATCTGATGTGCAGATTTACTATGTATTCTTAAAACATTGGTAATGTTTTAAGAATAAATTTTAACAATTTTCCAAAACTGGTTAAATATGGGAAAATATTTGGATTTCCTTTTTTTTTTTCTCATCAACTGACAACCTGCTAAGGGTCTTTGCACTATATTTAGACACATTTAGGCACCTTTAGCTTGGAATACCTACATCAAACCTTCAGTTTTTGTCCTACTGATCAATCGGTTTGACGTACTCTATTAATGTAAAACATGCTTCTGTGAATTTTTTGATTAATGTCCATGGCTTGTTCACCTCTGCCAGTTCGTCAGATGTTGGTGATTAAAGAGGTTTCCCATGCCTGGACCTCCAGTTTGGACTCGGAGGACCCAGAGCCCCTCCACATAAAGGAGGAAGAAGAGGAGCAGTGGATCAGTCAGGAGGAAGAGCAGCTTACTGTGAAGATGGAAGATGAAGGGAAACTTCAGTTATCAGAGCGTCAGCAAATCAAAACTGAAGACAACAGAGCAACAGAGACTTCGCCCTCCTGTTCAGTTGGACAGATGGAAAAAGAACCTGATAGAGAGGACTGTGGAAGACCAGAACCAGACATGAACCTGGACCCAGCATGTTCTTCTCGAAAGAACAAGATGGCAATTCACAGAAGAGGTACAGGGTCCAAAAAGTTTTCCCAAGCTGTGTTCACAAAAACATGACCCACAACGTGCTCTCATGCTACAAATTTAAGGACAAGACCTCCTGACATGTGCATATTTTTATTCAGTACTAGAAACATTGCAGACAATAATTTTATGCTCAGAAGACATAAGTATGACCTCATGCCACTTTAATTGCTACTACAGTGGACCCTGCCTATTCATAGCTCAGAATTGGCAGATTCACTTATTAGTGCATTTTTATGTGGAACATAACTCCAAATACTTTTAGGAAATGTGCTCATTTACAGATTTCTTTTATGCATATTGAAACATTTTTAAAAAGAAGATGCTGCTTGGGAATCTGAAATACAAAGTGCTACTTGACTGAGTGTTAGCTGGTATTTGCAATCGATACATTAAATACTCTTGTCTCTAATATTCTTGTTACATTTACATTTTATTTCATTCTGTGGTAAGTATCTATTTACATTTGGCACAAGGTGCTTTCAATGAAAATTTGCATTTTTTTTGTTGTTTTGTTTTTGCTTGATTCTTATCAATGTAACATGCATTTGATAATTGACTTTTTTTGATTATTGTATTTCAGTGCTCCCACTCTATCAGATGTTGGTGATTAAAGAGGTCCCTCATGACTGGAATCCTAGTTTGGACCAGCAGGACCCAGATCCCCACATAAAAGAGGAAGATGAGGAACTGTCGATCAGTGAGGAAGAAGAACAGCTTGCTGTGAAGATTGAAGATGAAGAGAAACCTCAGTTATCAGAGTGTCAGCAAATCAAAATTGAAGACAAGATGGAGATGGAGGCTTTAACCACTTGTCCAGTTGCACAGATGAAAACAGAACGTGATGGAGAAGAATGTGCAGGACCAGAACCAGACAGGATTGCATATTCAGAAGACTCTTCTCAAGAAAGTAAAATGACTGTTCACAGTAAAGGTAAAGGAACTGGAAAGTACCATCTTCATACACATAGACAACTCCACACTGGAGAGAAACCATTTGTTTGTAGTTATTGTGGTAAAGGGTTTCATGCAAAGAACTTTCTCAAGACTCACGAGAAGACCCATTCAGAAGAAAACCCCTTTTCCTGTGACGTTTGTGGTAGAAAATTTGATCGAAAGAGTAGTATCAAACAGCACATGCAGAGCCACACTTCAGAAAAAACATTTGTTTGTAGTGTTTGCGACAGAGGATTTTCACAAGAAAATTTTCTGGAAAAGCACATGCATGTTCACGCTGCACATAAACCGTTTACTTGTAGTTTTTGCGGTAAAGGTTTTTCCCAACAAAATACTCTATTGAATCACTTATGTATTCACACAGGAGAGAAACCATTTATTTGTAGTGTTTGCAGTAAAGGATTTTCCCTAGAAACTGTACTAAAAAGGCACATGCTTATACACACGGGTGAGAAACCGTTTATTTGTAGCGTTTGTTGTAAAGGATTTTCACGACAAGAGAATTTAAAGAGCCACATGCGTGTTCACACTGGAGACAGACCGTTTGTTTGCAGTGTTTGCTGTAAAGGATTTTCACGACAAGGGTATTTAAAGAAACATATGGATGTTCACACTGCACCATTTAGCTGCACTGAGTGTGGTAAACATTTTGTGAAGGAAGTCCAGTTGGAGCGACATGTGAAGGTCCACACAGAGGAGAGGCCTTTTGGGTGTGATATCTGTAAAACCAGATTTATTCAGAAGTGTCACCTTGACAACCACATGCGAGTCCATTCAGGAGAGAAACCATTTGTTTGTTCTGTTTGCAGTAAAGGATTTTCGCAACAAGATCGTCTAAAGAGGCACATGCGTGTTCACACATGCGAAAAACCGTTTGTTTGTAATGTTTGCAGTAAAGCGTTTTCACAACATGGGAATCTGAAGACGCACATGAGTGTTCACGAGGGTCGCAAGGAGTGAATCAAAATCCTGACGTGAGGTTTATTAGACTGCATTAGCATGTCCTTAAAGAGACATGCTATAAGGCGTTAGCATGTCCTTAAAGAGACATGCTAATGCCAATGCAGGTTATTAAACTGAGAAAATACATTTAAATTAAAAATCTTTAAAAATCCTGTCAAAAATTTAGATGGCTAAAAGTTTTAATTTGATGATCAATATAATGATTAGAAAAACCTAGATCAGATCAACAATAACTGGTCTATTCTCAGCTTTTGTATTACAATGAAAACTTGATATTTAAAAAGGCAGAATTATATGTTTTCCAGCCACAGAGAATCATTTTATAGCGCAATCAGCTATGTTCCTTGAGTTATACAAGTACTGTACATAACAAATATGACCTAAAAGAAATTTGGCTTGGTAATTTAACACTTTGAAATTAGGCCTCTTTAAGAAAGTTCTGTTGTTTAAAACACCTCACCTTCAAGAAATCATCACATCTCTCCTCTATTAACCGTTTATCAACATTTTTACCAGCATTGCACTGAGAAGTAGCTCCTATAATGAGCTCAGCAGATGTGTAGTTCCACCAGCTGTTTGCTAATTGCTTCTGGCTAGTCTGAAGGAGCTGAGAAGAGGAATTATGGGGGACCGGTACTCTGAAACAAAAGCTTGGGATGAATGAATGGTTGCCACCGGAGATTAAGATAATCATACATGGAATATGTAAGCATTGCATATGTGATTATCTGGCTGATTTATATTAGTAAATCTTTGAGTTTGTATTTTTAATTGAGGTTGCTGCAGGTTAAATCATTGAAATTGTACAAATGATGCATCTCTTTACAAAAAAATAGTCTCGTTCTCTCTCTCTCAGTTTCATGTTATGGAGAGAGAAAATATGCTTATTAAAATAACTGAGAACTGTTGTTAAAGTTTGTCTAAAGCCTTTTTAATAAAATATGTTTAAAAGATGTGTTCAGACTGACGTTTATTCTATAATTGCAAAAATAATGGACCTGTTAGTCTTGTAAATTACTTGAGATTAAATGTTTTGTTATTTTTTAAAACACTGATCACAGCATAAATGTAAAGACCTTATAAAAACGTTATATTGTTGCAGGAAAATTTTCAGTGTTCAAGGTGCCGCATGAACTGACTAGTAGATACATCATTACCTTGGTGAAAAAAATAATATACTGCTCAAAAAAATAAAGGGAACATTTCACTTTAATTTTGTGTGTGGCTCCAAATCCAGGCCTCCATTGGTTAACAAATTTGATTTCCATTGATGATTTTTGTGTGATTTTGTTGTCAGCATATTCAACTTTGTACAGAACAAAGTATTCAATGAGAATATTTCATTCATTCAGATCTAGGATGTGTTAGAGTGTTCCCTTTATTTTTTTGAGCAGTGTATATTTAAGTATATTTTAAATATGCTGTATTTTTCTGAAATACATTTTTAGTATGTTATCAAGTGGATATACTTAAGATTATATTAAAAATGTAAACTTTTTTAAAAAAACATGCTTATAATACACTTTTTAAAAAGTTTTAAAAGTTTATTTTAATACACTCTCTAAAAGAATACATTTTTTAAAATATACTAATATAATATAATAAAGTATATCTTTTTTTTCAATCGGAAAGTGTGTTGCAATTGATCCTTCTGCGTACTGGTAGCTTAATATGTTTGCACTACTGTATTGTGTACAAAGTGGCAAAGCATAATAATAAAATACATTGATAAGTAACTAAACAGTGTGCTAGCAATTAAAATAAACCAAAAGTTTAATAGGAGCATACTGTGCTAATACATAAAATATATAATGAGTATATATTTAGAAGACATTTCAAATGTAATTTGATCACAAAATGGTACACTTAAGATATACTAATAAAACTTGTTTATATTACATTAAAAGGCTTATACTTAAAGTGTACAAAGTACACCTTTAGTTGTTCCAAAAAAGCACATGATAGTACAATTATTAGTACACTTCAAATTGTGATTTTCTACTATTTAATTACAATTAAAATACATTAAGCACAAAATTAGTTGTTCCAAAATAAAAAAGCTCCAAGTTAAATAATCCTTAACAAACTTGAAGTATACTGATGATTAGTCTGGCTTCAAGTATGGTACAATTTTATATAATTAGTATATTTATTTTTCACAAGGGTATTGCAGGGGAATGCAAATCCCCCAGGGGACTCTGTTGGATTTTAAATTTGCATCAGTAAAAACAAAATAAAACATCTGTGAATACATGACAAAAATGTTGAAAAACATATTTTTGGTAGACAAATGACTCATTACATTATCTAACTCTATTTGTCCATTATTTCGTACCACATATTTATAGATCAATGGTCTCATGCATGACTTAATAATAGTTTGCGTTTTCTAATAGTAATTTACACATCAAGCTATTTTACATAGAGTTTAAAAAACACCTTTTGAAGGCGAAAAAGAGGATACATAGGCATTTTCTATAATCCAATTCATGATTGATTTTTCCACATACTGTTTTAATATGAAACCTAAAAGCTGGAAATGTTTTGTTTTTTTTCTTTTTTTGCGTCAGAATTTTTCTCACCATTCATTGGTCAGTGAGCAGGAAGTAAGCTCACGTAGCAACGTTAGCTCGACGGGATAAGTATGTAATTGATATCTAAGACTCGGTTCTGGAACGTTTTCGGCAAAGTATTGGGTTTACCTATTATTCGTTTGCAGTTCATAATGTAATTATCAATCATTTACAAAGAGACTGGACTATTAGCATCCATTGAGCTAACGCAGCTAACAGCAACGACTTAATGTTTCCGAGGTTAAAGCTTTTAAAAGATCATGATTTAGAGCTACAAGACGAATCCGCATGGGTTTGTGAGACTATGTGGGGAAGACCACATCGTCTGTGGACACCTCCTCTGACCATGTTGTCCAGCTAAGGACCGAGAGACAGGGGACAAAGTGGACCCAGAAGTGTTGACCAAGGTATCAGCCTCTCTGCTCTGCAGCATCGCTTCAGCTCTGGTACAGTTTAAATTCTCTGCTTCATCAAATCAGGTGTTTATTTGTATCTCACTCAAGTTTCAGAAACCTGGATGTACTAGAACATGTGAAAGTTATAAAAAAATTTAAAAAAGGATTGTGAAAGGGGGAATCCGAGGGGGAGCCAGGATGTCTGAGACGATGAAGGTCGAAGCAGATGAACCTGGAGGGATCAGCTTGGAGCCCCCCATACCTGCAGCATCCACAACGGAACCGGAGGAGGAAACACAAGACAGCAAAGATCTTAGTAAGTGGCACACATTTGTTTTATCTGGATCGGAACAAGCTAACTCTTAAAACTCTGGCTCCATCTTCAGGATTTCTTGCAACTCAATTCTTCATCTGGAACACTGAGATCAAGTAACCTGATGCTTTCAGATGTCTCAAAATCCGGACTTAGAAGTAGATGTGATTCTGCTTTTGCAAAGACTGTGGTTCCATAATGTCCCAGTCTTTTTTTACCTCCTCTTATCAGGTTTGCTCAGAATTTGGAAAATGTTAAGGTGCTACTAAAGACTCAGTTTAACTCCATCATATTCAAGTCAAGTAAAGCATGACAATGTGGTTTGAGTTATGAGAATTTATGTTACTTTACATCTCTGAGCTCCTCAGTACTTTAAAAGCACTTGATTATTTCCCCAGGCCATTCCAAATGTCTCGTCTTAAAACATTTCTATCCAAATACGATAACCTTATATAATAAACATAACCCGTAACCTCCCCCAGCAGGAAAATTTATGTTTACCAGCAGAAAGGTGTGAGGTAAATGGTAAAACATAATAACCAAAAATAAGAAAGAAGAAGATATAAATTTGCATTTATCAGTATTGGTTTTGTTTTGTTTCTTAGTTTTCCAAAAAGCATGCCTTTATGTATGTATAATCATTAAAACTGTTTGCAAACAGTCATGAATGTACTTTTGTTGTTCACTCTTCCCAGTTTATCAGATATTGGTGATCAAAGAAGAGGTTCCGCATGACTGGAGCTCCTGTTTGGACCAGCAAGGCTCAACGACCCCCCACATAAAGAAGGAAGAGGTGGAACAGTGGATCAGTCAGGAGGAAGAACAGTTTGCTGTGAAGGATGAAGAAGAACAGAAACCTAAGTTATTAGAGCTTCAGCAAATTAAAACTGAAGATAATGGGCAGACAGAAGCTCCAACGAGCAGCTCAGCTGGACAGATAAAAACAGAACCTGATGGAGAGCTCAGTGGAGGACCAGAACCAGATAACAACTTAGAACTTTTAGCTGCTTCTCAAGAAAGTCACACAGTAGTTTACAACATAGGTGAAACATCTAATCTGCTTTCCAAACTCACATCCAAGATAGAAACACATACTGAAAAGAAGCCATTTGGTTGCAGTATTTGTAGAAAAGGGTTCAAATGTCAAACTTCTATTGAAATACACATGTTGACACACAATGGGAAGAGAGAACATAGCTGTGACCTTTGTGGTAAAGTGTTTAAAAAGAAGAGTTCTCTTCAGACACACATGAGAGTCCACACTGGTGAGAGACCATTTGCCTGCGCTGACTGTGGTAGAAGGTTTCATAGAAAGGCGATTCTTAAAAGTCACTTGGAGGTCCATTCAGGGGAAAAGTCTTTTTCCTGTGATGTTTGTGGTTCAGGGTTTAAAAGAAAAGAAACCCTTAAAAAGCACATGTGGATCCACTCTGCAGAGAAACCATTTGTTTGTAGTATTTGTAGTAAAGGATTTTCACGACAAAATCATCTCAAGAGTCACATGTGTGTTCACACAGGAGAGAAACCGTTTATTTGCAGTGTTTGTAGTACAGGATTTGCATTACAACATAGTCTAAAGACTCACATGCTTGTTCACACAGGTGAGAAACCCTTTATTTGCAGTTTTTGTAGCAAAGCATTTTCCCTGCAGAGTCATCTAAAAAGTCACATGCGCGTTCACACAGGAGAGAAACCGTTTGTTTGTAGTGTTTGCAATAAGGGATTTTCACTGCAAGAGAATTTGAAGAGACACATGCGCGTTCACACTGGGGAGAAACCATTCATTTGTAGTTTTTGTTGCAAAGGATTCTCACAACAAAATCATCTAGAGAGTCACATGCGTGTTCACACAGGGGATAAACCGTTTATTTGTGGTGTTTGCAGTCAAGGATTTTCACGACAGGCTTATTTGAAAAACCACATGGATGTTCACACTCCACAATTTGGAGATAGTTAACCTGTTACAGAGGAAATACAGTTAACAAGCTTATCTGACCACTATGCACCTTTCAGTGTTTTGTATATTGTGGACTGAGATTTTGATTAAGCTAAATTTTTGGTAGACTTAATGGGGTTTATGAACCACAAGCTTCCACAGAGTGTGATTTTTGTCTTTCGTTTTGTTATAATAGGATTTAATGAAGCGCTTGTAAACAAACTAATGTAAGCTGTTGGCCGGCCAGTTACAGGTATTTCTATTATGTATTTCTCAGGCACATTGTGCCATTTTATAGCACAATCAAGTGACTTTTACTTTCAGTTATTATAAAAATGCTGTATATGTCAAAAACTTTAAAGAAAAGAATTTGTCTTGACAAATAAAAAAACAAGCAGACAAACTTAAAAAATATGAACTCTACTCCCCCATACATCTCACTGTGCTAGCAACATATGTTTATGTTTTTCATTATTGGCAGGGTTGCCCAACTCTGGTCTTTGATGGCTACTATCCTGCAACTTTTAGATGTCTCCCTTCTGCAACACACCAGAATCAAATTGTTAATCTGCATCTTTTAGCTTTGCAAAAGCGAGGTTACGAGCCATTCATTGACTGACTTTGGGCACCCCTGATGTACAGTGAGGATGAGTGTTTGCCATGGAGTATGTGGCTAAAAATGAACCTCAGAAATTTGATGACAAGTATATTTCCAGCCTTTCTGTTAAAGTGGATTTAGGAGAAAAAATTCCTAAATGATCAGTTTGAATTACCCAAATATAAATGTATGTTTATTTAATGAATTTTCATGTATGGTCTTGTGTAACATTTCAAAGTCTATGATCAGGTCATGTGATGTTTTTAAAGCTCGTGACAAAAACAAAGTCAATTAGAGAAATATTATCTATCCATCTGTTCTCTAAACCTGCTTATCCTTGCAGGGTTCTGGGGAACTGATGCCTATTTACCTCAATCATTGGGCAAGAAGCAACGTATAGCCTTTACAGGTCATCAGTCCATTACATGGTAACAGAGACGCACACAGGACAAACAACCATGCACACACACCTATGAACAATTTAGAAAGACCAATTGACCCAACAGTCATGTTTTTGGCTGTGGTATGAAGCCGGAGTACCTGGAAAAAACCCAAGCATCTACAGGGAGTACATGTAAACTCCATCTAGGAAGACTATGTCATTTATTTTCATATGTCAGTTGCACCAAATTCACAAAGCCAGAAGTTGGTGGCAACATTTTAATCTAAGCTTCATATGTTTACATTTGAGTCCGTTTTCATTTTCAGATTCTGGTTCTATAAAGTTCACTGTGCATGTTTCTGGTTTTTATTGTTGTTTTTTTTACTTTTGCTTTGGATATTTCTTTATTTTCTGGGGAAATATTTTGCCAAAGTTGGTTAGGTTAAAATAATAGATCACTTAGGTGAAGTTGGGCTGAAGAAAGTGATGCCAAAGATGTTAACATGCTGAACAAAATAAAAAAGATTTTTTTTGGAGGGGATATTTATGTTTTTATCTAAAGCAGTTTGAATTGCTTTGTTGTTGAAATGTGTTACAAATAAACTTGAAAAATTTTTTTTTTCAGTTCTACCAGAATTTGCAGTCTGACTACTGATTTCTGCTTCACAGTGATTCTTAATCACTATTGTATGATTATGTGTAAACATGGTAAATATGCATAGTGTCACATTTTGTTGAATTAAATACTGTTGATTTTAAGTATGAAACTTTCTGACAATATAAAACATATGCTTGATGAAAATGATCAAATGTAAAATGCACAGCTGTAAAATAGAAGAGCAGTATTTTTTTTTCAGTCCATGAGCCAACTTTGGCTTATCTCTTTTATGTAGCTTTACATTCACATGCACAAAGCCAACAGTTTTACTGGGCATTATGTGGCAACACATGGTTAGTAAGAAAAATATCAGCTATAAGAGAGAAATGCCCCCACATACCTGCAGCGTTTTAAACTGTGTCCTGATCACACTTCATTTCCATTTGGGATGACCAGAGCTTTGAAAATTTAATAAGTTGGTAAAGTTCACAAATTTCACTTTTGTTTGCTGATATTATTTTAAGAGGTTATCTGCATTTTTCTCTTGTTACCTGTATTCCATGAACAACACTTCTTCATGATGGAACAAAATTTCCAATCAGCTCTTAATGGAAAAAAAAATACAACAACAAAAAAAAAAACTTGTCTATTTATGTTACCTAATACAGAAAGTGCTCTACAAAACTCCTAATGATATTTACCAGTGAGTCAAAACTGTGTAAAGGCTCTAGTGTATTAGATTATATATTTTTTTAGTTTCGTACCACCACTAATTGAAATATATCTGCCTGCCGATGGCTCATATTTCCCCAGCAGACCTCACAGTCTCAGCGCTTTACTCAACGCCCTTCGGGACAGAACTGGACCAGAGCCACTCACAATATGGCGGCGACATCGTCAACGTATAACCCGGACCATCTCGGATTGCGTTTATTCTTTGTAAGTACGATGACTACGTTAGCTTGACTGGCTATATTCCGACGAAAGACACTTGTTTGTGTGAAATATGTGTGATAAAAATGTCCTTACTAAGTCTCCGAGACTGATTGACCATCTCGGTGAGGATATCGCTTTTACGTGTTTGCTGTGAACCACTGTGATTATTTCTAGCCGACATTTGCAGCTCATTATGCAATAAGAGAAGGAAGCTGTGGTCACCATGGAGCTAAAGTAGCAGACAGATGAGACCTGATCATCGTTTGTGGACACCTCCTCAAATCTTCTTGTCCAGCTGAGGACAGAGAAACTGGAGATAGTTTCAGAGTGGACCCAGAACTACTGACCAAGGTATCAGACTCTCTGCTCTGATTAATATATTTTTTACTCAGGGTAGCAGCACTTTGGAGTAGCTCTGTACTTTCACTGAAATGTTATGTTATTATTACTATTATTATTTTTCAGTTATGGTTGTCTTAATTAAGGATGGTCCTTCATGACTATCCTCTTTCAGAATAGTCATGAAGAAAGCCTGTGACTAAAAAGACACTAAAAAGACAGAGTCTTTAGTCAGTCTTCTTCAAATGCGCAGTAATACAGACTGCCATCACCATCTACAATAACTCTAAAGAAATTTGAATTAATATGAATTACAACATTATTTATTTTATTTCCCTTTGGGATCCGTAAAGTAAAATAAGTTGAATTTAATTTGAAAATGTGTCTGATTCTACTTTCCGGCAGCAAAAACAATTTGAAGATCCATGTTATATGACTGAGAAAGGAGAATATCAAGTGGAGCGAGAATGTCTGCGATGATGAAGGTTGAAGCAGATGAACCTGGAGGGTTCAGTTTGGAGCCTCCTATAGCTGCAACATCCACATCAGATCTGGAGGAGACACAGGACAACAAAGATCTCGGTAAGTGACTCACAAAAACAGTCATCACAGGCTTCTTAGTGTTATGTAAAATAAAATAAAATCTGGAGACACAGATTCCAGTCATACAACTGTGTAGATGTAAATAAATTTTGCCACCTTTCAAAGACTATTTTGGGCTCTCTGTGCACAGTCCTCCTCTGCACCACATCACACAGTACCCCTAAATTTTTCCACCTTGTTGCAAAGAGCACAGATATAATTACATCAATGCCTCATTGGGCAGATTGGCCCGTTGCTGTGATGCGTTACTTTGTCTGCTGAATTGGATATGACCGATCTGCCAGTAAGCCAATAAAAGTAAATGGACTGAGCCTCATAAAGTGACGTTCTACAAAGTGTTTAAAGTTTATGCCTGTCATTGACACACTCAGACAAGCACACACTAATATATTTAGAAATCAAACAAGCACCAGGGAGAACGTTGACAACTTTTGATGTGATTAAAATTATATTTTGAGTCCAACTGTTTTGCAGGCTTTCTGAATAAAGAATACAATGTTCACACTTGATGCGACTGATTCTGATAAATCGTTTTTATATTGACATTGATGAAAATATGCACACGATTCTGTAATTCAAGGAACATTTGGGATCTTAAGATATATGGGGAAAAAACATAATTTTCTTAAATTTACATTTAGTATTTTGTGGAGACATTCAAATGTAATAAATCAATAATTGCCACACATTAGCTAGATATTTTTCCTCCCTTTTTTCCCCCAAGAAAAACACATTTGTTGTATCCATCAGATTAATAAAGTCGTATGATATTTACCCTAAAATGTCATATTTACCCTAAAATGTCATTTCAACATTTGTACATTACTAAGTCAGCATTAATAAGCATTCCACTAACTGAATTAAATGGTGGTTGGTTTGCATAAAAATAGTTTCTAAATATCTGGTTGAATTGGTTCTTTGATGTTGTTCACTGAAAACTTGATCCAACAATAGCACCAGATTTATTCATGTAGTCGTTTTTTTTTTCCAATTAGAAAAATGACAATTGAGCTTTAAAATGTAATGTGGATATTTAATAATACATTATTCTCAATTATCAATCTAGAAAATGCCTTCGTTAATCCACTTTTCTGAATAATGTCCACATTTATTTCAGTGTTGCCACTCCATCAGATGTTGGTGATTAAAGAGGTTCCTCATGACTGGACCCCCAGTTTGGGCCAACAGGACCCTGACAACCCCCACATAAAGGAGGAGGAGGAGGAGTTGTGGATCAGTCAGGAGGAAGAGCAACTTACTGTGAAGATAGAAGATGAAGAGAAACCTCAATTATCAGTAATCTATCGCAGTAAAACTGAAGACAAGATGGAGGCGGCAGCTTTAACCACTTGGTCAGTTGAACAGATGGAAATAGAATCTAATGGAGAAGAATGTGGAGGACCAGAACCAGGCTGGAACCAAGTTCCAGTAGACTCTTTTCGAGAAAATAAGATAAAAGTGAAATTAGGTACAAGAGGCAAAAGAGCTAAGAGTTCCAAACGTACGGCTCAGGCTGGAGTCCATGTAAGAGAGGAGCTGTTTGGTTGCAGTGTTTGTGGCAAAGGTTTCAAACATAAGACTTCTGTCAAAATCCACATGATGATTCACACTGGAAAGAGAACGCATTACTGTGGTCTTTGTGGGAAAGGGTTTATTGGAAAGTGCCGTCTTCAGACACATATGCGACTCCACACTGGAGAGAAACCATTTGTATGTGACTATTGTGGTAAAGCGTTTCACGCAAAGAACTTTCTGAAGACTCATGCGATAATCCACTCAGAAGAAAAACCTTTTTCTTGTGAGGTTTGCGGTAGAAGATTTCATAGAAAGGACAGTATTAAACAGCACATGCGGATCCACACGGCAGAAAAACCGTTCGTTTGTAGTGTTTGCAACAGAAGATTTGCACAAGATGTTGTTCTAAAGAGACACATGCATGTTCACACAGGACATAAACAGTTCACCTGTAGTGTTTGCAGTAAGGGCTTTTCCCAACAAAATGTTCTCCAGAGCCACCTGCGCATTCACACGGGAGAGAAACCGTTTATTTGTAGCGTATGCAGTAAAGGATTTTCCTTACAAAATGTACTAAAGAGACACATGCGTATCCACACTGGTGAAAAACCATTTATTTGTAGCGTTTGTAGTAAAGGGTTTTCACGGCAAGAGAATCTGAGGAATCACATGCGTGTTCACACCGGAGACAGGCCGTTTGTTTGCACTGTCTGTTCTAAAAGATTTTCACGACAGGGATATTTGAAGAAACACATGGAGGTTCACACTTCACCATTTAGCTGTAACGAGTGTAGCGAGCGCTTTGTGAAGGAGGTCCAGTTGGAGCGACACATGAGGCTTCACACAGAGGAGAGGCCGTTTAGTTGTGACGTCTGTAAAAACAGATTTTTTAGGATGTGTCATCTTAAAAACCACTTGAGGGTCCATTCAGGAGAAAAACCGTATGTTTGCGGCGTTTGTTGTAAAGCGTTCTCACAACAGATTATTCTAACAAGGCACATGTATGTCCACACAAGAGAGAAACCGTTTGTTTGCAGTGTTTGCAGTAAATCGTTTTCACGACGTGGAGACCTGAAGAGCCACATGCATGTTCATGAAGAGTGCAACTAATAGTGTTTTTGAAAAACAAATTTTTCACATTTTACATTCATTTTACTGTATTTCCTCTGTAACAGGTTTACATTCCGTCCTTACCCAGAACTTTGTTTTTCTTCAGCGAGTACAGAGTCTTTAAACAAAGTTTGATGTTGTCAACCACTCACCACATCCAGGATAATTAAAAAAAGGTTAACTACAGTGAATTTCTTTAATAGCTAAACAAACTTAGATTGGGTTCTGTCACATCAACAGGCAGCTCTTAGATTTCCATGGGTTAACCACCTGATTACTGTAGAGCCGGTGCACACCTGTAAGAAAACAATTAGCTGTAGTTATTGTTTCATTTCTGAAAAAGATGCATTGAAACCAGAGGTTTTAGTTCCAATGTCTTGTGGTAAATATGAGTAGAAGAGCCATCCTGTTACTCAAATGTTAATGCACACATGAGAAATACCTTTGCTTTGTGATTCTAGTGTAAACCACAATCCATCATTTAAACAACTGTCTCCCCCATCATGGCTATGGACCACACTCAGTTGCAGGTTTTAGATATCGTCTTGCTTTAACGCAACTGGTTTAAATTTAAATGACGTTTGAAGTGATTAACTGAATTCTTTAGACATTTACCAGAAGTATGGATAGTTACTTGTGCTTAATATGATTTAAGAGACGTGTGCCTTCTTTTACCTGCATGTGTGTCTGACAAAGCTACCATAAAGTGGTCAGTCAGCTCACAAGACATTTAACAAAAAAGAAATTTGGTTACTCTCTGGGTAGTTTGTATCTTGAACGGACTACAAAGTCGAAATATCCGAGTATCCTCTGAATTATTAAGTTGCCTTCTCCTTTCTTGTCAGAACACTTGGTTATTTTTCCATTTTGACAATTGCGAAATTGCAAAAATACCTTTGTTACTATATTAATAGTGATCTGGGAGATGGAAGATGCACTAGCTTTAAAAACTTTAGCAATTCAAACTCTCAAGTGTCTATTCACTTGAGAGTTTGATGTGTTAGAGCAGGACCACATCTAAAGCAGGCAGAACTATGTCTGCCAAGGATCATCAGGAGTGAGGTACTGGGTAAGCCATCCAGCTTCCCTTAAACACTCTTTTGTTTGTGTTTGTTGAGCCCCACAGCACTAGAGACCTTTCCACACCAATAGACCTTAAATGGTCATGAATTAGCTGCTCTGTGGCAGGGATGGGGGAACCTCTACAGCTGTAAATTTAAAAAGTTGTTTTTTTTTATTTTTGAAAGTTCTCTCTTTTGTAATGCACTTTTATATTGGAAGTAAACCATTTGATGACAATAAAAATGTAAATTCAAAATCTGCCTGATTTCTTTTATTAAGCTTCACAACATATTGTGACTCTCCACTTTACAAATGAGCTAATGATGTTGAATACTGCTACTTCATGTCAGCGAGCCTCAACAGAATATATATTTTGATTTAAAATAAAGTTAATTATTTGAGAGTTTGAATTGCTTAAAATTCAACTTTTAAGCTGAAAAGGTGTGATTTGAATTAAGGTCGAAATTTCATCTAAACTTTTAAGCTTTGGAAAATCCCATCCTTTTAGTGATGGAAAAGGCAAGGAAAAAATGAGGCCAATAACAGCTAAAATATGCCTATAATTCACCAATTGGGTCCCGACGTCCGTGGTTATACAAGGATGTTGCAGGACTCTGTGTTGTGTCCGCTCTCAGTTAATCAACATGGTTTCAAGCTTCGAATTTTTATCTTTGCAATGAACCACTGCTGGAAGTCTTTGTAACAGGACTGCAAGCACTGGTTCTATTAAACCTTCTCCTCGGTGCAGATAAGACTACAAAAAGTCTCCCAAGAGACCACAAATTTTCCTTTTTGTGACATCTTTGAAAGGTATGGAGATAGAGGCAATTAATGTCTATAAATATCTTAACTGATAAATTCCTTCACTTTTAGATCACATGCTGGGGTCTCATGGAAATCCTTTCACCTGTGCTGGATTAAGCGCATGTTTTGTACATTGATGCCTTTGAAACATCACAGTGACCTGTACTGATGAGTTAGATTAATTTATTTGGCCATCAAAAATGCAAGCATTGGTAAGCTTTTATCTAATAGACAATGTTTTGAATCTACTGTGTGCATATCGGCGAACTGATAATTATGCACAGAATTAATTATTACCTTTGCTCTCAGGATTATCTGCTAATAAATTTTAGTGTTATTGTTGCACTGAAATTTGTTTAAGGGCTTTCATTGAAAGCACTGACTGCATGATTTTATCTCATGTTCTTATTTTTAGTAATCCACTTAAAATATTATATATCATCTGTTAACCAATTTTAGTTTTATGTGACATGGCCGAAAAAGTTGCTTCAGGTTCAATCATTCATATTGCACGTACATAGTCTACTGTTTTGAAATATGCTAAAACCTATTAAATAAATATTTCTAAATCTGTGTTTGGACTTAATTTGATTGTATTTAATTAAAGTTCGAATTGTGAAGTTCATTGGAAATTCAGTGTTTCTTTGATGCAAAAAAATGAAATGTGATAATGGTTGATGTGATAGAATAAATGTAAGTTTTTATCAGTAATTGTGTATTGTTTAAGTGTTCTTTCCCTGACAGGCTAATACTGAAATTAGAACATTACTCATCATTCACTGGTCAATGAGGAGGAAGGAAACGGATGTCACAACGTTAGCTTGACAGGGTAAGTCTCGACAGAAAAACGTCTTAATGTCTATCTGTTATTAATGTCAGGCTCTCTACCTGAGAGTCTCCGCAAGGATATCGCCTTTGGGTGTGTTTATTTAATCATTGTAATTATTTATAACCGACATTTGCAACAGAATGTAATTAGCCTTCATAAGCTCAGTGAATGGTCTGTTAGCCTCCATGGAGCTAAAGCAGCTAACAGCAGAAACTGAATCAGTGTTTCCGACGTTGACGCTTAAAAATGCCCATGGTTGAGCATGGGCATTTTTAAGCCCATGCTCAAGTACGAGCATGGGCTTAAAAATGTACGAGTCCACGTTTGGAGTTTGTGAAAAAGAAAAACACACAGTCACAGGTGTCTGTGGACACCTCTGACCTTGCCCAGATGAGACTGTTACAGAGTGGATTCAAAACTACTGATTCAGGAATCAGACTCTGCTCTGCAGCATCAGTTCAGCTCTGATGCGTTTTAAATTTTTTTTTTATTTAATTTAATGATGTTTTATGTCTGATTTGATTCATGCTGAAACCTTGACCTAGTAGAACAAATAAAGGTTACAAAAAAGGATTGTGAAAAGGAGAATCCCAGGTGGAGTGAGGATGACTGAGATGATAAAGGTTGAAGCAGATGAACCTGGAGGGTCCAGCTTGGAGGACCCCGTACCTGCAGCATCCACATCAGAGCCGGAGGAGGAAACACAAGACAACAAAGATCTTAGTAAGTGACTCAAAAAACATTCATTATTAGTTCCAAACACACTTTTTGTAAGTGCTACCTGTTCTATGGCGGATCCAGGCTTTGACATCAGATATATATTTATTTTTACTGAGGTTAAGGACTACTACCATCAATCAATATTCTACATTTTCCTAAGCGGAAAGTTTCTCTAAATCAATGTTTTAAATTTTTCTGTGATTATGCTCTGCCGCCTTCTTTTTGAAAAAATGTTATTTTTTAAAAAGAAAATTCATACTGTTTTTGTAAACAACACAACTGTTCTTGGTAAATAAAACATAAAAAATAAAGAAGGCTTTACTAGGGTTCCCCTTGCAAGTTGAGGTCTCACTTTAACTTTCAGATCTCTTTGTGCATGTAAAGTTGAAGCAATGGACACACAGAGCCTAAGCTTTTATTTTCTTGTTGAAATGACTCCATTATATAAAAATATGATTCTGACATTTTTCTGTGCTGTCAGCTTTTTCAAATGGTGGTATCTACCACTATCTGCAAACATATGGTGTCATATTTACAGGCATCTGTTCCATGAAATGTCAGGAAGGGGCGTTTGCTGACATCCAGTGGTCAGTACTGCATAGTGTGATCTCCAATAACACCTGCCAATATCTGGGGGCAGCTGTAAACTGCATTAACTGGTGCCCATTAAACACCAGTACCAACAGTAGCTATACATTTTGAATGGTTTGGATTTGAATAAAGTGCCGACTCTTTTGTATCTACATACTTTTTGTTGTTTGCAAGTAATTAACATCCAATATGTGTTTCAGTGTTGGTGAAGAAAAAAGAGGTTCCCCATGACCAGGGACTCATAAAGGAGGAAGAGGACGAACTGTGGATCAGTCATGAGGAAGAGCAGCTTTCCGTGAAGGTTGAAGATGAAGAGAAACTTCAGCTAGCAGAGCTTCATTGCAACCAAACTGAGGACAGCAGAGACACTGGAGGTTCAATCAGCAGCTCAGCTGAACAAATGGAAACAGAACCTGAAGAAGACTTTGGAGAAGCAGAACCAGACAGAAACGGGTATCTGTTTCACAGTAAGATGACCTTTCACAAAAAGGGTGAACGAATTAAACTGTGTTCCAGACTTGCTGCTGAGATTAGTGTAAAAGAAACAACATTTAGTTGCAATTCTTGTTGTGAAAGATTCAATCAGAAGACTTTCGACTCTGCAATGAGAGAGCTTGGCTCCGATCGTTGTTGTAAAAGATGTGAAGAAACAACTTCTCTTCAGACTCACATGACACTTCACCCAGGAGAAAGACCATTTGCCTGTGATAGTTGCGGAAGGCTTCATGCAAATAAATTATTTAACGAGAACCTGAATGTCCACTCTGAAGAAAAACCTTTTTCCTGTGATGTTTGTGAAACTAGATTTAAAAGAAAGCATCATTTAAAAGGCCACATGTGGATCCACACTGCAGACAGACCCTTTGCCTGTAGTGTTTGCAGTAAAGGGTTTTCTCAGCAGATGCGATTAAAGAGTCACATGCGTGTTCACACCGGAGAGAAACCTTTCATTTGCAGCATTTGCAGTAAAGGATTCGCTTTACGGGAGAATCTAAAAAGACACATGCATGTTCACCAAGGAGGGAAGAAGTTCATTTGTAGAGTTTGTGGTAGAGGCTTTTCACTACAGCAGACTCTAAAGAGACACATGAATGTTCACACAGAAGAGACACCGCTCATTTGTAGTTATTGTAGTAAAGGTTTTCATCAACATTGGTTACTGAAGAAACACCTGCTTGTTCATACAGAAGGGAAACAGTTTACTTGTAATACTTGCAATAAAGGGTTTTCATTCCAAGAGAATTTAAAGAAACATCTACATGTTCACGCAGGACAGAAACGGTTCGTTTGTAGTGTTTGCAGCAAAGGATTTTCAATCAAATATAATCTAGACAGACATATGCTGGTCCACACAAGAGAGAAACTGTTTATTTGTAGTGTTTGTAGTAAAGGATTTTCAGAACATCATCATCTTAAAAGGCACATGAAAGTTCACAGCGGACCGTTTAGCTGTAGTGACTGTAATAAATGTTTTACAAATAACATCCAGCTACAGCGACATGTGAAACTCCACATGGTGGAGCGGCCATTTGTCTGTGAAGTCTGTGAAAGCAGATTTATCCAAAAGTGTCATCTTGAAAAACACATGAAAGTTCATACTGGAGAGAAACAGTTTATTTGTAGTGTTTGCAATAAAGCATTTTCACTGAAAGATCGACTAAAGAGACACATGCGTGTTCACACGAGAGGAACTATTTGTAGTTGAACATTTTGTCAATACTCTTCAGAGATTATAGTCATCTACTCTGCTTTTATGTTCAAACCTCTGTTTTCATTTCTGATTCAACTGTCTCCACGCTGCAGTAACTCTGGATTTCACCCTGATGTCTTTACATTATCATCTAATTTCCACAGTAAATTAAAGACTTGCATGTACTAAGTACGCTTATGCAGTAGTGTTGAATTTTCTTGTTGTGATATGAATATAAGTAATACATTTTGCCTGGTAAAGTAGCATGCATAAACCCTCAATACAGTTGCATGAGATTAGATTTTTGTGAATTTGTGTTATAACTACAAAGTCAGCTGAATTAGTGGTTGAAAATATTAAAATCGGTGGAGTGTTATAGAATTTTTAAACTATGCAAAAATGTAATGAACTTCTGTTTATGAGTTAAGAAGGTTAGTGTACCAGTCTTAACAGATAGAGACATGTATGAAGTTCCACATATCTGTAGAGGAGTTTTTATTATTTATAATTTACAATAAAATAGTCAAACTCTAATGTCTAGCGGCCAAAGTGAAAAATCTTTTCCAATTTGAGAGCCAAATCTGCTCAACATTTGAAAAGAAAGTAATATATTATTTTGTTCTTATGTTTTCCTATCAACGGGTTTTACTTTTTATTTTAAATAAAAATCATCTTCTCAAACCATCTTAACAGTTTATCTAAAAATATTAAGCATCTAGTAACTAACATTACATTATAAAATTATAGGAGAAAACAGTTCTTGTGAACTGAGAACTGGAACGATATAAATTACCTGCTTTTAATATCCGTTAAATGAGTTTTGTTGCATTTAAACTTTATTATTTTGAAAAGCTAATGGTGGGTAACGGACGTGCTACTTCCTGTCGGAGCTTTCCGTCTTGTTCATTGGTCATTCTGGAGGTAACAACCGGATATAGCAATATTAGCTTAACAGGCTAAGAACCGAGAGATAAACGTCTTGAAGTTTGTGTAAAACAAGGGTTTAATAATAAATGTATTACCAGTCTTCGGGAATATATTACTTCTGGTTATCTGTTTTGGATGGTTGTGATTATTTCTAGACGAAATTTGCGCCACAGAATGTAATTAGCCTTTATTAGCAACATGATTAGACTTTCATCTGAAGAAGAGAATCAATGTTTTCGAAGTTGATGCATGTTAATAGTTCACAGTTCCGTTATTTAAGACAAGTCTACATGCTGAGTTTGTGAGACTGTGCGGGGAGGACCACGTCGTCTGTGGACACCACCCCTAACGCTGTTGTCCAGCTGAAGACCGAGAGAGACTCCAGTTTCAGGCAGCAGGAATATAGAAGACACGGCTTATATGACCGAAATCTTGATCCACTAAAACATATGAAGGTTGAAGATAAGGATTGTGAAAAGGATAATCCCAGGTGGAGCGAGGATTTGTGAGATGATGAAGGTTGAAACAGATGAACCTGGGTTCAGTTTAGAGACCCCTACACCTGCAGCATCCACATCAGACCTGGAGGAAACACAGGACGGCAAAAATCTCAGTAAGTGGTTTGTGTAGAATTAGGCACCGTGGAGGGAGGTCATTGTAGCAACTGCTTCTGCCTATTAGTCTGTTTCTTTAAATTATTCAGTTTATTAATCAAATTAGTCTCTGACTAACCCTACATTGAGCTTGCTCTGTTTTCTTCAAGGATTGTGGAATAATTTCTAATTAAGCCTCATGAATGTTTGCCACACATTGGATTTTATTCTTCTCTTTATTTTTTCAATTGGTAGCAATAATTTTTCCTGCATATTTGTTTGTGTTGTCTCTGACCTAGAAATGAATGCTTATATGAATGCTTATATGCAACTTTTTCAGTTGCATACTTTCCTTCAATTTCTATACAGACATGTCCAGGCATGAGTAAAACACTTGGATAATGCCAGCTTCATTTCCACAGAAGCCCATTCTCCGTTTTCTACTGTAATTGGGTCAACATCTTTGTGCTAAATTAACTTTTCGGCCAATCCAAACCATTAGTAAAAGGGCGGATGTTTACAAACATATTCTTTGTTCTAAAGTCCAGATATTTTAGTTGTACTACAGAACATGAAGGTAGATTGAACAGTTTCTTGCGTCTTCTCTTCTGGTTTTTATTGGTGTAAAAAGGTCAAAAAAGCTGCTTTTATACAGCAACGTTATCATTCAGTGATTAATAATTATTCACTATGGATATGTAGAGCTCTGTAGCTTTTGCCTCAATTTTTATGTGCCAATTTTTGCAGACTACCACAAGTTGGTGATTAAAGAAGAGGTCCTCCCAGACTGGAGCTCCAGTTTACACCAGCAGGACCCAGAACACCCCCACATAAAGGAGGAAGATGAGGAACTGATGATCAGTCATGAGGAAGAGCAGCCTACTCTGAAGAGTGAGGATGAAGAGAAACCTCGGTACTCGAAGCCTAGTGAAATCAAAACTGAAGACAACAGAGAGACCGGAGCTTCAACCTGCAGCTCAAATGAACAGATAGAAATAGAACTAGATGGAGAGGACTGCATAGAACCAAAACCACACAGAGACCTGGATCCAGCCTGTTCTGAAAAGAACAAGACAACGATTCACAATAGAGGTAAAAGATCTAAACTGCATTCAAAATTCACAGGACAGATTGGAGTTCATGCTGGAGAGAAGCCATTTGGGTGCAATGTCTGTGGTGAAAGATTCAAAAAGAAGTCCCATGTTAAAGTGCACATTATGAAACACACAGGAAGTGAAGAACATGGCTGTGATCTTTGTGGGAAAGTATTTAAAAAAAAGAGTTACCTTCAGATACATATGAGGCTTCACACTGGTGAGAGACCATTTGCCTGTGATGATTGTGGTAGGACATTTCATAGAAAGACCATTCTTAAGAACCACCTGGCAGTCCATTCAGGAGAAAAACCATTTTCCTGTGATGTCTGTGGTACAAGATTTAAAAGAGAGAAATCCCTCAAAAACCACGTGTGGTTGATTCACACTGCAAAGAAGCCATTTTCTTGTGCTGTTTGCAGTAAAAGATTTTCACAAGAAGAACATCTGAAGACTCACATGGGTGTTCACACAGGAGAGAAACAGTTTGTGTGTGGGTTTTGTAGTAGGGGATTCTCACTGAAATCAAATCTAAAGACGCACATGCGCGTTCACACCGGAGAGAAACCTTTCACCTGCAATATTTGTAGTAAGGAGTTTTCAAGACAAGATCATCTAAAGAGTCACATTCGTGTTCATACGGGAGAAAAACAATTTATTTGTGGGGTTTGTAACAAAGAATTTGCACTAAAACAGAATCTAAAGACACACATGCGTGTTCACTCAGGTGAGAAACCATTCACTTGCAGCATTTGTAGTAAAGGATTTTCTCAACAAAATCGTCTCAAAAGTCACATGAGTGTTCACACGGGAGAGAAACCGTTTGTCTGTAGCGTTTGTAATAAAGAATTTTCGCAGCAGCGCAATCTAAAAATTCACATGCATATACATACAGGGGAGCAGCCATTTCTTTGCAGCATTTGTGGTAAAGGATTTTCACTGCAAAGGAATCTTAAGATTCACATTCGCGTTCACACTGGAGAGAAACCATTTGTTTGTAGTTTTTGTAGTAAAGGCTTTTCACGACAAGATTATTTAAAAAGTCACATGCGTGTTCATACGGGAGAGAAACCGTTTGTTTGTGGTGTTTGTAATAAAGGATTTACGCAACAACAAAATCTGAAAAGACACATGGAGGCTCACACCGCATGATTCAGGTGTAGTGAATGTTTGGGTTGGGGAAATAAAGATAAATCTACGTGTGCAACTCCTTTCAGGGGAGCAATAATTTTATTGTAATATGTGTAAATTTAGATGAAATCAACAAACATATCTTTAATTTCACATTATATGTAGTCTCTACTACGGTGCATTTCATAAACTGGAAATCTAAAAAGATCAATGGGCTATGGATCTTTCTATCTATCTATCTATCTATCTATCTGGAGACGTTTCAGTTAAAGTGAAACAGGAGCCTTTGGTTCTGATAAATGGTGAATTTAACTACAAGAGCCTTCCAATCAATCAAACATTTAACCACAAATAAGAAAGCGCTTTTGGTTCTGATCTAGTCGTTTCCCAGTCCATGAACCACACTGACCAGCAGGTTTGAAATATTCTCCAGCTTTAACAAACCTGGGGCTAAATTAAAATGACCATAAAGTCATCAGTAAACTTCTTCAAAAGTTTGCCATAAATAGTGGGGATGAGGAGAGCGCACTGATTGATTTTATTTTTATTTGAGCAGTTTTTAAAGCTTATTCAATCCTACGTGTAAATATTAAGAGGATTCTTTTTTATTTATTTTTTCTACCTACTCCTGGAATCAATGAGCTCCTAACAACAGAATCACAAGGTGGCAGCGATGCGTCAACTGTCAGTAATTACAGTTCCTCACTGATGTACATATGAACTTCTGTTTTCAGATACTGGGTGTAATTTAGATGCACATGTAAATGTAATGGTGCTAGAATCAGGTGAGCTCTGAAAGAAATAGTTTCACTTTGTCCTGAACATCATGTCTTTCTGACTCCTACAAAGTAAATGTTTGTTAGCAGATTCTGATGTTAGCATCTTGGCAGAACTTGAGCCATCCTTCCCATTTTCCTCTTTATAGAAAAAACATGTTTTCCTGTTACCTAATACAAAATGATGTGCTTTACTGAAAAGGTTTGTTTAAAAAAAACAAACTGTTATGCCTGTGTACAAATAATATTTAAAATGTGTGTACATTCAGCATTGTATTCTTTTTATAATAAATGTAATTTAATTTCATGTTTATTCAGTAAGTGCCCTGAGGTTAGTCTTTTTAATTAGCACCATGAAAACAAAGTGAAATTATATTAAACATTTTATAAATAAGAATCTGTTTCACTTCTTTCCCATTTGTGCGCTTTGTTCTGAAAGGTTTAAAGAGGAAGCGGATGTAGAAGTAGCTGTGACATTAGAGACCTCTCAGATTCTCCATTTAACTATTGTTTGTTATTGCTGTTGGTAGTTTGCTGCACAGAATGTCATTGGTTTTTTTTAATAAATAACAGGAATTGACTTTTAGCTAAAATAGCAGACTGAATTAATGCTTTCGATATTGAAGTTTTTAAAAGTTCAGGCTGTAGTGCTTTAAGACACTGCCTTGAGT